ATCCCTGGCGTACACCCTTCCCAATTTTGAACCATGCAGTGTTACCCTGCTCTGTTCTGACTACTGCCTCTTGGTCCAAGTATAGGTTTCGTATTAGCACAATTAGGAGGCTAGAAGTCCAAATTCAGGGTGTCTTTTCTGGGGGAATTCCTTGTCTCTGTCAGTTCTGGAGGAGGATCCTTGTTTCCTTCAGCATCTGTTGCCTCTCCATTCCTTATGCTCTCTGTGGCCCGATCTTCCCCTATGTTGAGGAGCTTCCTAGGGCAGGGGCCTGAGTACAAATGGATGGACTCCATTCCTGGCAATTCTTTCTTGGTAGTGCTGAGGTACCTTTTGATCTTTTGCGAGATAATGCTGCTGACCATCACCTTGGGAAATTCTCCTTACTAGGATGAAGTAAGAGAGCTGAAAAGAGAATGTCATAAGGCAGCTTGAGAAGACAAAGCAAAGTAGTATAACAAAATGTGTAGAGACCTCGAGTTAGAAAACCAAAAAGAGAACATGTGCTAAGCATTTCTTGAGCCAAAAGAACTAAAGAAACAATTCAGCACTCAAGTTGCAATACTCAAGGATTCTATGAGTAAAATATCGAATGAGGCAGGAAACATCAAAAGAAGATAGAGGAATATACAGAGTCAAAAAGAATTGGTCAACCCTGAACCATTCATTTCAGGAAGTAGCCTGTAATCAAGAATGGATCATTCTGAGAAGACATTCTTGGAAGAAGTCCAGCTACACTTAAGGCAGTGGCAAAAAGGAAATCCTCTAGAATTGTTAAAATACCAATTGAGATGATTCAGCAAACAGATGCAGCCCTGGACATGCTTACTAGTCTATGAATGAAATTTAGATTATACGTGGCGAACCAACTGGAAGACATCCATATCTGTTCCCATTTTAAAGGTGATCAAATAGAGTTTGGAAATTATTGAACAATATCATTAATATCACACAGAAGTAAAATCTTGTTGAGGATTATTTTGCAATAGCTGGAAATGCCAGAAATTTAAGCGAGATTCAGAAGAGGCTATCGAACAAAGGATACTATTGCTGATGCCAGCTGGATCTTGGCTGAAAGCAGAGAACACCAGAAAGATATTTGTTGGGTTTTTTTTTCAGAAAGATATTTGTGTTTTATTGACTATGCAAAGGCATTTGGCAGGCTGGACCATAATGAATTATGGGTAGCATTTAGAAGAATAAAATTTCAAAACACTTCATTGTGCTCCTATGAAACCTATATGTAGACCTAGAAACAGTCTGTGAACTAGAACAAGGAATTTTGTATGCTCTAAAATCAAGAAAGGTCTGTGTGAGGGTTATATCTCTTCTCTATACCTGTTTAATCTGTATGCTGGGCAAATGATTTGAAAAGCTGAACTATATGAAGAAGAATGTAGCACCAGGTTAAAGAAAGACTCATTGACAACCTATGATACACAGATGACACAACTTTGCAGAAAGTGAAGAAGATAAAAGACTATATAGCCTTCAATATAGTTTGCATCTCAATTTCAAGAAAACCATACTCTTCACCACTGGAACAAGAGATAACATCACAATAGAAGGAAAGATGAATGAAGTTGTCAACAATTTCATTTTACTTGGACCTGTACTCAACATTTCATTGTGCTTCTGTGAAACCTATACAAAGACCTAGAGTAGCTTCTGTAGCAGCAGTTAAGAGATCAAAAGACATGCTGCGCTGGGAAAAATTATGGCGTCACAGCCCTCCCCAGAGTTCTAAAGAATAATGATATCAGTTTAAAGATGCACTTCATTCAAGTCATGGTATTTTCAATTGCTTCCTATGCATCAGAAAGTTGGACAATGAATATGGATGATAGAAGGCAAATGAATGGCTTTGAATTGGGTGATAGAGAAGCATACTTAATACCCCATGGACTGACTAAAGAACATGCAAGTCTATCTTGGAGGAAGTACATCTAGGGTGCTCATGAGATTCAAAGATGGTGAGACTTTGTCACTTATACTTTAGGCATGTTGTCATAGTTCTTGGCACAAATATGACAGTACTTGGAAAAGTAGACAGATAGTGGAAGAGAGGAAGATCTTCAGGGAGACGGATTGATACATGACTACAACAATGGGCTTGAGCATGATAGGGATTGTGAGGATGGAGCAGGATAGGCAAGGTTTTGATCTGTTGTTCATAGGGTCATAGGGTCATTGTGACTCAACTAGATAGCACTGAACAACAACATTATCGGTGCTGTGAAGGGATTAAGTATTACATTCCACCCTTTAATCCTTTTAGAACTATTTGGTTTCTCAGATCTGAGGGATCATTGCATAGCTTCTACATTATATCATGAAACTTTTTGCTGGTGCTCAGTCACGGATGACTCTCTAGTGGGTTTCTGGGACTGTAAATTGCCTGGGAGGTGATTGCCCATTTTTCTGCTGTGGAGTTGCTGGTGAATTCCTACTGCTAGAGAGTCTCGGCCTTTAGGCAACTCCTTAGGACTGTGTAAGCAGAGCTCCCTACATTATATGATTTTTGTTGTGTACCACAGAGTCAGAATCGACCCATAGCTGACCCTCCAGCAGGTTTTCAGAGGCAGTTAAGTCACCTCAAAGGAGATTGCCCATCCTTCTTGCACAGAGCAGCTGATGGCCTCGAACCATGTGCCTTTGGGATTGCAGTGTATCTTTTTGCCACTAGGCCACCAGAGTGCCCTACATTGTATGATTACACACATCAAATTTTTGGGGGCACAATTCAATCCAAGACTACATCCATGGAAACACCAGTCAGGAAATTTTGAAGGACATATTGCAATAGACAAATTTTCTGCAGAAGTCTTCTTGAAAGTGTTAAGCAAAAATGTCACCTTGAGGACAATGCCATAGTGTTTTCAGTCACCTCATATGCATTCAAAAGCTAGATGATAAATGGGCCAACCAAAGAAGAATCCAAGCCCTTGAATGATGGTGCTGGCAAAGAACTTTGAATATATCATAACTGCCATAATAATAAATCTTTCCTGGAATAAATACAGCTAGAATACTCTTTAAAACCAAGGATGGTGAAATTTTGTTTCAGGTACTTTCATATTTTATCAGGAGGGATAGTCCTCAAAGGAAGACATCATACTTGGTAAAAAAGAGTAAGACCCTCCTAGTGACAACAATAGGAACAATAGATTCCAGTAAAGCTATGACTGTGAGGATGGTGCAGAACTGGACAGTGTTCTGTTGGAGAGTTACTGTTGAGTCAAAACTAACTATATCACCAATTGCAACAATATATCCTTTGTTGGGTTATTTTGAGGATTGAATGACATAAGTTCTGGTGCAGTGTTTGCTACTTAGTAAGTAAATAAATGAACCAAAATTCTACAGGAAGTTTCTCTTTGCAAACTATTTTTTACTTAAATAAGATATCCATTCACATTGAGATGCTATAGATTTAAGGACCACAAGATTTAGTGTTGATTGTTGTCACACCCTTGGTACCAGTACTCAGGAGATCAGGAGGCACGCTGGAGTCGCTTGCAACTGATAGCGACCCTCTGCACAATAGCCCTAAACCCTCCTCCATCCTGTGTCAACGTTACTGTCTCTGACACACCTACCCCTCCACCCCCAGCATTGGGAAAGCCTGTTGTCAGAGCTCTCTCCAAAGTCTTGAGCAACAATGATGTTAGTTTAAAGACTAAGGTGGGCCTGATTAAGGTCACAGTTTTTCCAATCCTGCTGTGCTTCAAAGAGCTGGGGAATGAATAAGAAAGACAGGAGAACGGATGTGTTTGAGCTGTGGTATTGTGACTGCCAAAAGAACAAACATATGTCTTAGCGGAAATGTAGTTGGAATGTTCATTGGAGCCAAAGACCATGAAGCCTCATCTCACGTTTGGATGTGTTACAAGAAGCTATTCCTTACAGAGGGACATCATGCTTGGAAAGGTGGAGGGTCAGGAGAGGAAGATCCTCAAGGAAATGGATTGATTACAGTATCTGTGGAATGGATTCAAATATATTGAGGATGTAAGATGGCGCAGGACAGCATGGAGTTCACAACCGTTGTTCATAGGGTCGCTTTGAGTCTACTCAACTAGATGGCACTTAACAACCAACAATTGCAGATGCATGAATTCCAGGGTGTTTACCTAGGGTGTTTTCCTAGGGTGTTACCTAGGGAGTAGATGCCAAGAGAGGTTTAAAACTTAGGCAGCTCCCACACTGGGCGTAGCTAGAATGTACCGGGAAGCAGACACCTTGGTCACGAAGTTCCCCCATTTCATAACCACTTTCCAACTGTTTTTGGAGGTATTCCTACCCTTTTAGTCTTCTCCTCTAGACTACCGATGTGACCCATTTCTTTCTTCTCCCCTCCCCCCATTTCAATGCCAGATGGAGCCTGAGCTGAAATGAATGAGGCTCACTCAGCCTGCAGGAACGTTCGGGGCAATAACTGCATGCCCAAGGAAACCACGCCTTTGACGTAGCATCCGGCGGGTTAAAACTTTTTAGTGTCTTTTCCTATCAATCTTTCATGACACATTTAAAAGGCTCCCTAACACAAGCGTACATATATAGTACAAAGCCTTGCTTCCACAGCCCTGCTGGATCAAGGTAAAAAGGAACTCTGTACCAAAGAGGTTCTAGTTGCTGTTTAAAGCTCCGATAAATCGAAGGTAGGTATTTCTACGATGAGAGAGTGTTTTCCTTGACTGGAACGCTTGTTATCTTCAGCCCCTTCCAACAGCCTCCGCATAGTAAAGACCAGAGTCAGCAGTGAGCCTCGCCTTTTCCGCTGGAACTACAACTTCCAGGACGCCCGCGGCCTGGGAGTGCGCATGCGCGTCGGTGGCCGAGGGGAACTAGGCGCACCGACTTGCAGCGTCGAGTTGGGGGAGCTGCTGGCGGGGAATCCGGCAACTCCCTGGGCAGCTGACGGAGGCAGGCGGGCGGGTACTGAGAACCGAGCAGCGCCGAGCGTGGCCGGCATTCCCAGCGGGTCTGTTACGGAGGTCGGTGGCCCCAGAGGGCGCCAGTCAGGTAAGATCAGCCGGGAGCTAGCTTTCCAGGAAGTCCCTCTGTGGGTGCGAGCTAGGAGTCGCCCCGACCACGGTGACTGGAGGAGAGCTTGCAGCTTTCTAGCCACCTGGTCCCGATCTCTAACCTCTTGGATCTTTCTTGGGTAGGTAGTGAGGGCACGCTGGGGATGGCTCGGGTGGGCCGGTCTAGGTCCGGGCGGTGGGGCGCGCTGGGCGTCGCCCGCGGGTCTAGGCGCATGAACCCCGAGTTGCTGGTGAACCACTCCCGGGCCTCCCTGGTTCGGGACATGCTCCTTTCCCCCCGCCGAAGTCAGCGCCTGCAGTGGCCGGGCGAGCTCTCTGTCTGCCTGCACCTCCCATCGTGCGGAAGGGTAGTGTGAGCAATCATCTTCGTAGAAGGGTTAAAACATTTTCTCACCAAGACTCAGTCTTCTGATTATACAAAGTTTGAAAACAACAAAAAAACCCACCCCACACAAACGGAAGGCTTACTCCCTTTTAGTGATTGAGACCTGGCTCGTTTTGGTGTGTTTCCTTGGTCCTAGATTATTCCCTGGCTTCTGTGCAGCACAGCTGGATCCGGCTGTGAATTATGTGTGTTGGTTTGTTTTGAGGACGTGACTGGGTCATGATATTTTCGCGTACAGTGGTTGGAGTGTTTCCTCTCCAGCCTGCAGTCTGATTGCAAACAGAAATAAGTGGGAAACAGCGCAGCTTTAGGTTTTGTTTTGCTTTTTAAAACATGTTTAGTTGAGAATTGCATTTCCAACTTGCCCTTGGCTTCTCTTAAAACCAAAAGTTCTCTGTTAAGGAGCACTGCAGTAAAACTTATCTCAGGAGGTCATACTTCAACAGGATATACGCTTGTGGAGATTTAAATTAGTTATGTGGAGTCTCTCTTGGTTTGTAACATTTTCATGAAGTTCATGTTTCTTTTCCTGAGAATGTTTTAAAGTTTTGATAGACTAAATGGATTGATTAATTGATCTATCTAAAGTATATCAGACTTTTAAAGAGCTTTTAAAGTCCGGGTTCATTTACTCTTGCAAATCTTTACTTTCTGGCTCTAGGCACTCTTTTACTCCACTACTTCTTTCAGAGTCCCACAAACTTTTTTACTATAATTTTTAGAATCCCTCGACACATTCCTATGAAAAGAACAAAAGGGATTTGAAACTTTAGTTGTAATATATGATGGCCCTTAGGTTGCTTACTTTTGTACCTCTTAGAATCTCTATTTTGCTCACCATTAAATTGAAATTTTGAACCAGATAATCTCAATGTTATTTTAGGCTCCTATCTCTGAGTTTTAAAAATTTGTTTACTTTATTCACTAGCATTACCGCATACATCATTCCAGGCTTTGGCCTAGACGTTGTTGTTGTTGTGTACCACTTAGCAGAACTGACCCATGTCCGACCCTCCGGTGGGTTTTCAGAGATATTTAATCACAGGGAAGGAGCAGCTGATGGATTCGAGCTGCGTGCCTTCAGGATTGCAGCACAGCTTCTTTCCAGTAGGTCGCCAGAGCTCCCTGATGAGATTTTACGGGTAAGGAATTGCACTGCCACTAGAAAAGCAGATGATTTTAATTCATCAGCTGCTCAACAGGAGAAAAATGGGTGGTCTCCTCTTGTGGAATTAACTGCCTCTGAAAACCCACAGGAGATATGAGTTGATTTTGATTTAGTGGTACACATCAACAGCAACAAAATATCTACAGGTGAAATACAAATACAATTATTGCTTCTACTCTTAATGATTTTTTTATTAATTTCAAGGAACATTTACAGAGATTTTGGATTTCCATTCATTCATTGTTGCACTTTTCTCGCCACGTACCCCACCCCCACCCCCAGTTTGCTCTTCTCCTTGAAAAGCAAAAGATCTAATCAATGATTTTAAAGTCTTAGCTACTATTCCTATTTAATCTGTCTGCTGAGAAGATTACTCAAGAAGCTTGATTGAAGAAAATGTGTCATCAGGATTAGAGGAAGATTCATCAATAATCTTCATTATGCAGATGACACAAGATTGCTTGCTGAAGGTGAGGAATACTTGAAGCACTTGCTACAGAAGATCGAAGGATACAGCCTTCTTTATGGACTGCATCTCTACGTCAAGAAAACAAAAATCCTAGCCAGTGGATTGATAGGCAACACTTAATAGATGAAGAAAAGATTGAATCTGTCAATGATTTCATCATACTTGGATCCACAATTAATACTTCTGGTACCAGCAGTCAGGAGAGCAGGAGGCATACTGCATTGTTGTTACGTACTCTCAAGCCACCTGTGACTCATAGCGACCCTATGTATAGCATCTCTGAACCCTGCTATATCCTGAGCCAACCTTATTGTCTCTGACACACCTATCCCCATTACCCCAGTCACTGAGTCAGTTCATTTCATCAAGGGTCTTCCTCTCTCGCACTGTTCCTCCACTCTCCCAAGCATAATGTCCCTCTCCAAGGACTGGTCCCACCTTGCAGCATGCCAAAAGTATGCCACATAGAGCTTCAGAATCCTTGGCTCCAAGGAACAGCCTGGTTTCACCCTTTCCAGGATGACCCTGTTTGCTGAGGCATCTGATGTAAATAAAAAATAATACACTGGGAAAGTCTTTAGTTGGAGACCTCTCCAAATTATTGATGAGCAATGAAGTCAGTTTGAGGACTAAAATATGCCATGGTCTTTTCCTTCACTTGCTATACATCTGAGAGCTGGGCAGTAACTACGGATGATACAAGAATTGATGCTTTTGAATGATGGTATTGGAGAAGAGGGCTGAATATCCCATGGACTGCCAAAAGAACAGATGGGTCTTGGAGAAGGTAGAGCCAGGGTGCTCCGTGGAGGCAAAGATGATGAAGCTTCATCTTACATACTTCAGGCATGTTGCTAGGAGAAGTTATTCCTTGGAGAGGGGCATCATACTTGGGATGTTGGAGGGACAGTGATGGAGAAGACGTCCTTCAACCAGGTGGATTGACACAGTGACTACAGTAATGGGAGATTGTGAGGATGGTACCAGATAGGACAAGGTTCAAATCTCTTGTTCATAGGTTCTATATGAGTCACATTCGATGGCACCTAACAATAACAACTGGCCCATTTAATACAATATTACAAGTTTATCTCTGTGATTCAACTTCCAGACAGTCCGTAAGCTTATAGGGTGATCAGTTACTCCAGGGTAGAACACATTTCTTAGAACAGTCAGCCATATAAGAGCAAATGGGCAGCATTTGGATAAAGCTCAGTATGAGGCAAAGGATCGAAAAGAGGGAGCAATGGAAATGTGAACCACCAGGGAGAAAGGGGAAGAGAGCTGATACAGTGTGAGGCATGTGCTTCACATCACAAAGCATGATGTGTTGAATGGAAAACCACTTTGCTCAGATATTTTTAATATCTCATTGCTGTTGAGTGAATTGACTCATAGATGACCCTCCATTGGGTTTCTGAGTCACATGGAAGGAGATTGCAGATTTATTATAACAGAAAGGACTGGAGTAATATACGTTAGTTAGGGGCATGTTCATGCTTGATTTGCACCAGTTTACAGTAAGCCTGGAGGTGCAACTTTAATTGAGCTTGCTTACTGATCTGTGGTGAACAGTTTCACCTGGCACTTGCTTAGTGAGTATTCATCTCTGACGATGGTATTCCTCCAATATAAACTTGTATAAGTCACCCAGAATCTTGTTAAATTGCAAATTCTGACTGAGTAGGTATGAAATGGATCTTTAGAATCTGCATGTAATAAGCGATGCCCTAGTTATTGTGAAAGACCAATTTTGGTGGTGTCTTACCATGATTAACAATCTTTATATTTGATGCTGATATTTGTGGTTTTGTCGTTGTTGTTATGTGCCCTCGAGTCATCTGCAACTCATAGCGACCCTGTGTACAACAGCCCTAAACGCTGCTCTATCCTCTGCCAATCTTAATGTCTCTGACATATCTACCCCCATTACCCTAGTCAATGAATCAATCCATCTCATTGAGGGCCTTCCTCTCTTTCACTGTCCCTCTACCCTCTCAAGCATGACGTCCCTCTCCAAGGATTGGTCCCTCCTTGCAACATGTCCAAAGTATGTCAGATGAAGTTTGAGAATCCTTGCCTCCAAGGAGCAGCCTGGTCTCACCATCTCTAGGATGAACTTGTCTGTTCTCAGCACTCCATGGTGTATTCAATACTCTTCACCAGCACCACAGCTCAAAGGCATTAATTCTCCTTCTATCATCCCTAGTCATTGTCCAGCTTTCTGATGCATAGCAAGTAATTACAAAGACTATGGCCTGGATCAGGCACACCTTAGTCTCCAGACGGACATTGTTGCTCTTCAGTACTTTGGAGAAGTCTCTGACAACATATTTTCCCAATGCAATTCATCTTTTAATTTCCTGGCTGCTGATACCAAGAGTGTTGATTGTGGAGCCAAGCAAACTAAAGCTCCTAACAATCCCAATCTCTTCACCATCTATCATGATGCTGTCAGTCGGCCCAGTGCTGAGAATCTTTGTTTTCTTGATGTTGAGCTTCAATCTGGGCAGAATATTAAATGCTGCAAGAAGCATTACAAGAAGATTGAAAGAGTATACAGAGTCATTGTACCAAAAGGAATTGGTAGACACAGAAGAATTTCATGAAACATAAAAGCAAGAGCCTGTAGTGATGAAGTTCAAGTTGCTCTGAAAGAATTGGCAAAAAACAAGGCCCCAGGAATTGACGGCATGCTAATTACCATATTTCAACAAGCAAGTGCTGCCCTGGATGTGTTTACCAAGTTGTGCCAAGAAATCTGGATGACAGCCACCTGACCAATTCCCTGGAAGAGATCTATATTCCTATTCCAAAGAGAGGGGACCCAACAGACTGTGGAAATTACCGAACAGTATAGTTAATATCACATGCAAGATTCTGCTGAAAATTATCCAAAAACGACTGGAACAGCACATCAACAGAGAACTGCCAGAAGTACAGGCTGGGTTTAGA